GTACTAAAACTGAAAGAAACATGGCTTACCCCGTAATGTGCTTACCTATTTTCCCAGTGGGTTTTGTAGATTTTGGTGTGTACACATTTTTACACATTTGTATGTAGGTACATATATACATACATATGTACATAAATACAATGCATATATATTGTATGCAGACATGAATGTATATAACACATATTGCCAGTAAAGCATAGAAAGGAATGGAGAAACGGTATGGGGCAATAAGAACACCAAATTCTGATAAGGAAAATTAAAAATAAAATCTGTCATTTAATAATTAATACTAAATACCTCTAAATTTCTATACAAGATTTTTCTTCACGAGAGTGATTAAAAAATCTTCAAATAGAAAAAATATACCACATAAATTATGTTATATGCATATTAAACTACGCAACAGATAATTATTTGCATTCGCAGATTTTCGTCTAAATAAGCAATAATACATATACGAATTTATACCAAAACTTGGCACATATAGGTATCAACCTTTGTAATAATTTGATATCAGAGCCTCAAATTTTTTAACTACCCCTCTGTTAGCTTTCTTTAAGTGGCCTTTGTGAATACATATGTTTGTTTGTATGACGTATTTTAGATATGTATACATATAGAGATAGGCAGTTTTCCGTTAATTAGCAGCTTTAGTTAACTTTTCCGCTTACTCACCCTTTCTCAGCGTTTTATATGCCACAGACTTTTACCCAAATTTACTATTTTAATGAAGATTCACATTTAAATTGAAAACCATTTGTCATGTGTGATTTTTCTCAAATCGTCGCAAGTTTCTTTTTGCTGCGTCTCTTTGCACTTTTCACGTATTTTATTTCCGAAGTTATTCTTCGCCCAGGCAAGAAAAAAACAAGCTTAAACCAAAACAGGAAGAGAAAATCATTAGATTTTCTAGTTTAAGTACCTTTTCTTGCTTTAACTGTTAATTTAATCGAATTTAAGTGCGCATCGAACCGAACTGAACTCGAGCTTCAACTTATAATTCGGCAATCTCGATGTACACGTATTTTTCTTAACTCAGTATTAACAATTTTGCTTGCTTTAGCAAACTTCACAATTTTCTCGGGTGTAACGTAATTTTAGCGATTTCCTCTTCGTACAAAAAAGGAAATTTTGTTTGGTTTCGTAGAATAAATAACTTATTCAATTTTCTTACTTTTTCTCGCGTAATAATCTTGCACTTCACCACTTCACTGACTGAACGCAAAATGTCGAAGCAGCAAAATGAACTTTTGGACGTGGATTTTCAGGGCTGCCAAAACTTGAGGTACACGCTGCCATTATTTTCTTTAGTATTATGATAGATATTGCACATTTTAATCAACAACAAGCTTGTTAAATTAATTTAAATACATTTTTAGTTTATCTCTGTAATGACTACAACGAAACAAAGAATAGTTAAGCCCATTTAAATATAGTTGGAAAAATGTTTGGCAACTCTACGAGTGAATGACTGGTGAAATTTATCATATGTGGTTTTTTGCTGCGAAATCAACATTTTCCGTATAGTTCATTACCTGAGATAAGTGTTGATTAACGAAAAAAATAATTTTTTAATAAAATTTGCGTTGCAAACGATAGCGTTTTTATATATGAAACTCGTTTGCCAATATTTTTGCTCAGATCAAATTTGCTACATGTCTTATATTTTTTAAGAAAAACATCGACGCATCGGAAATTTTTTTCGATTTATCGATTAAAACCGATGCATCGGATCCTTCCGATATATGTATATCAATACCAAGGCAAGGTAGTGTCAGTAGAGCAGCTGATTTGATTTGTTTCAAATTATTTGGTCTCGAAAATGTCAAATATTTTTAATTTTTTTCTCACAAAAATTCTAAATTGTATAAATCTGCTTGCATGCGAAACCTTTCTCCATACAAAATAAATGATTGAATAGCAGCTTTTGGAACGTTCACCCAATTTTTATTTTTTCCAATTTAAATTTTTTATTTATTTTTTTTTTGTATTTTACATGGCACCCTTTGATTTAAAAGAAAGAAATCAGAACAGTTTTTGACACTTTCGATACCAGAAGCAACAACGAAATACATCATGATTCAATAATACAAGGTTGTGTAATTTGTGAAAGCTAAAATTTGACACTCCTTTATCTAGATTTGTATTTTGGAAGTAGGAGAAAGGGGAAGAATGTGATCGCATGTAGCGAAAACGGTAGTAGAATGGTATTACAAAAAGTACGCAAAGTATACAATTAGAAGTAAAATGTGTATTATTAATTCTATGCGAATTTGCAATATATTTGGTGTTTTAATGGAAATACTAAACAATACATAAAAATATGCATTTTTGATTTAAGTTATTCGTCATTTCTCATTCGACAAATCTAGAATACTGACCGTTCGGCTATGCAAAAACGAAAAATGCAGATCAATAGAACTTTTTTTTGCTCATTTCAACCATGCCAAAATGATTTGGCGCAAGTAAAAAATGAAGAGGTTCTAGAAGGATAAAGTTCAGTTTTTAGATATTTTAAATATTAATATCTTATGAACTTTATAACCGATTAAAAAACTAATGACGTCACCATAAAGGTAATTAATTTATTCTTCAGCTGATGTACATAATTTATAGCTTTTTGTATTTTTAAACCAAAACCACTAAAAAACGAACAAATATAATTTTTTCATGAAATAACCTTTTTTGAAAAAACTGCATAACTAATGGCAAAGAATTTTATATTATTTAGAAAGTACAAGTTATTATCTTTAATTCGATATTACATATTTTATCATGATCTACTTTTGGGTTTCAACAATTTAGTGATAATAAAAAATACAAATAAACCTCTTATATCTTCTTTTTTTTACCTGCGCCAAATAAATTTGGTATCGTTGAAATCATCTAAACGGTCGCTATTCTACACTTGTTCTAGAAAATTACGCAAACGAAGGTGACGCCAACGAATATTTAGTATGAAGAATTTTTGGTTTTACTACTAATATCACTAGAAACTATAGAGTAAGCAACATTCTGCACAAGTAAAGGAGGCGATTTTATGTGTGGGAGCGAGAAGACTGTTTTATTACAAAACCTTTCTATTATTAGGTTTGTTCCACACGAGCCCGCGGGTACCCACGGGTGCCCAAAGCAGCCCAGAAAGCGTTCCTCACGCTAGAAAAATGGGTAATAGAGAGCGAATACGTTCCACTTTTGGATCGTAAATATCTTCTTCTTTGTGCACGAAACAGCCCGGACTTTTTTTCCGGGCACAAATGTGCAAAAGGGCAATTTGAAATAACTGCTGTTGTTGTTTAAATCCGAAAGCAAATTTTATAAAAACAAAAGTGCAAAATATCACAGAATTTTCAGAAAATGTAGTTATTTGGTAATTTTATTAGCCATATAAGATAAATACAGGTAAAATCATTGTTTAGTGCTGATCTGTTGATTCCGGGCACGAAATGTGGTTTTTTGCGTTCCTCACGCTATGGGCACTTTTGGCACGTGTTGGCACATTTTTGACACTTGTGAGAGAGTAACTTATTTTTACTCTCTAATTACCGGAGCAGCCCGGAAAGCGTGGGGAACGAAGCTATTGAATCAAGGAAATACATGCAAATGTTGTTTGTGCTTTAATGCTACTGTCTGTTTGATGTGCCTTGATCAATATCAAAGAACGTAAAGAGCGAAATACACTACACAAGCGGTTTGTCAAACATATTTCGAACCTACTTCTCCCATTTCGCCATACACCATGCAAACGTAACTCGTTCAAGCAAAGAATTTTAATTTTCCTCCGTTCCACAATCTAACAAAAATTTGGTTTTCTCATATATGTAACCAGCAGAGCACCCGAAGTCATTCGGGGCAAACAAATAAATATATATAAGTTAATACAAATTAAAGAAGACAAACTATTTTCATTCTGTTTAAATTATGAGCCATACTTTCAGCTTTACCGTTATTTTTAAATTAAAACTACATTCTTTTAAAACGGTACATTCCGTATAGCTGCCTATTCGCTTAACTGTTTTAGTATAGCTGCACTTTTCCGGTAGAATGCTTATTTTGGAAGGAGTTTTATTCATCGTGAATGCACCTTTATCGTTTAACAGCATCGCGGGATCAAACAAATTATTTAATATTTTCATTTCGAAATGGTCTAAAGATTGTAAGATTTCAAAAAAACAGTACAAGCCCCTACCATGGATATGTATTCACACCAAAGCTCATATTCTTGAGAATTAAGCGAAGCGCACATTGGCGCTATACTGTCGTTGCGAATACAGTGGGAATTCGGCTATTAAATTCGAATCCGCAATCGTGCGCACATTTGCGCGATTTTTTCGCATCGAATTCCGATGTATAATTCACTTAACTGTTCCTTTTTTCGTATATTTTTGTACTCGGCGCGTACATATGTATGTATATAAAATAGGATTTTTACAAACGTTTTCTATTAGTTTTTGTACATCGCACATTTTTTGTTCTTGCATTTGTTGCTATGACACTTTTCTTCCTCTTCTTTGATGCCAAAAAGAGAGGAGCATTGAATGTTCGAAAAATTCGCAGCGACGGAATCGTGCAAATGTGCGCTAGCTCATTAAAAGTTGCGTTCCTTCCACGCGGGCTAAGCCATGTCCTACGAATGGATGCTTAGGCTTGGACTCCTCCACTCATGAAACGCAGCTTGATTCGCATAACATATTGTACAAATTTATAGTTTTGGTTGTTTAAAAACTGAGTGCGAAATGTTCGAAGACAATTAGTATCTATAATTTTTTTTTTTTTAAGATTGGAAAGTATCCACAACATGAAATAATAAAGCATAACAACCATCGAATCATAGCAGCTTTTATCATTCAGTCATGGTTTATCCACATACATATAATGTCCTTTTTTAAAATACATATGTTCCCATTTTTGCGCGGCCACCCTTTATGATCAGTTTTTATTTGTAAAAAACGATATTTTCATTTCCCAATACCAGGCGCTCATACATGTGAAGTAACAAGTTTTCTATTTCAACGTACAAATTGTTTGTATAAATTTTTAAATTTCCAAAATTCTACTTTGTAAGGTTCAAATGCTTCTACAAAAAAAAAAATATTTAAAGGTTCTACAAACAAATTTATACGTATAGAAAGCATGCTACTTCATATGTATGAGCGCCTGGTATTGAGAAATAAAAATATCTTTTTATACAAATAAAAATTTAGTTCGTTACATAAAATTGACCGCAAGTTTCTTTCAAAAACATGCAGTTGGTTTTAAAAAGTATTGACTGAATATCTAAAGCTGGTACGTACTTTTGGTCATAGGTAATGCTTTACCAAATTGTAGCAGTGGTAGAAAAGCAGAAGCAAAACGACTGTTTTCTCCTATAAACATTTTTTTCTAGAATCAAGGCATATTTTTTCAGTATAGTACTGAATGATCAAAAGTGTTTGCATTCAACCAAAATTTACAATCACGATGATTTGCGAATACTTTTGTTACATTCACATTCTATACTGAATGGAACTCTGCCATTCAGTAACACATAAGCTGCGTTCCAGCAGCAGTACGAATAGCAGGAATTAACAGGATTTTACAGGAAGCTGTTCCCGCACGACACCTTACATAAGGTTTATTAATGTCGAAAACAGCTGTTCCTGTAAATCCTGTAAAATCCTGCAAAACCTGCTATTCGTACTGCTGCTGGAACGCAACTATTACGTTTGTTTTTGTTTCAAAATAATTTAAGCCACTCAGGAATGAGTTTTTTTTATAAAACCAAACAATCAAAATTTTAAAACGAATGCCAAGTGAATGCAGATCCTACTGATTCAATAATTTTACAGCTCTGATATATGGGTAGCATTAGTTGTGTTTGTTTACTCATTTCGAGTAAAATCCAGTAAAAGTTTTTACGAATTTTCACGTTTTGGCTTTTTCGTACGCAAAAACTTGCATGGTAGGGGAAATTGAGAGAGCGAAAATTACAGCTGAAGTTGCAAGTTTTTACTAGATAAATTTTTACTTGTAACAATTTGCCAGTACCAAAAACTGCTGATCACATGTTGCTGGATGCAGTTTGAACTAATAAGGAAACAGACCTGGGTCGTAATGATTCCTTTAGGAATTAAATTACTCCCAATTACAGATTACAAGGAATTGTAATTAGGAATCAATTCCTTCAGTCCACAGCAAAGGAATCCATTACTTTT